GATTTTACAAATGCATAACAGAAATTTCCATTTTACCCATTTTTAAGTCTGCAGTTCAGTATATTTACATTATTGTACAACCAATATCCAGAGCTTTTTCATCTTGCAAAACTAAAACTCTATACTTATTAAACAATAACTCCCCATTCCCCCCACCCCGGCCCCCGGCAACCACCTTTCTACTTTCTGTTTCTATGACTTTGATTTCGTTAGGCACCTCATATAAGGTGAATCTGTCTTTTTGTGACTGGCTTGTTTCACTTAGCACAATGTCCTGAAGGCCTTAAGGTTCATCTGTGTTGTGGCATGTGTGACCAGATTGCCTTCCTTTGCAAGGCTGAGTAATATTCCATTGCGTGTACGTTCTGCCGTAAAAATATCAAGTTAAAGTTTATTGAGCTTCTGAGTAAGGTACAGGAATTGTAAAAAGCTTAGTTATTAAATCCTTACATATTTAATACTGCTTCTAATTTATCATAGGAGTTGCTTCCCCAAAATGTTAAACGCCCGCTGGATTGAAAGAGTGTTTGGGAAAGATGGTAACTTTTTTTTTTTTAGAGAGAAAGAAACATCGATTTGTTGTTTCACTTTTTGGCATTCATTGGTAGATTCTTGTATGTGCCCTGACTGGGGGTTGAACCCGGAACCTTGGAGTATCTGGTAACACTTTAACTCACTGAGCTACCTGGCCAGGCCTGCAATGTTGTCCTATAAACTATACCACAGGGTAAGAGATACAAAGTCAACTTTGTGCAATTGAAACAAAAGAACAAGCAGCAAAAGCTGTTGGGGTAGGTCCCTCATCACTAACACATGGAGTCGCTTCCCTTTTTAGTTTTAAAGCAGGTACATCCATGGTTAAGGAGTGAGGAGCCCAGTCTTAGAAAACTTGGAATCATGAACGTTGTTCAGCCTTTAGGAGGAAAATTTTTCTTCATTCTCCTGGATTAGCTTCCTCTCCTCTTTTTTTTTTTTTTTTTAAATATGTTTTTATTGATTTTAGAGAGGAAGAGAGAGGGAGTGAGAGAGATAGAGACATCATGATGAGTGAGAATCATTAATCGGCTGCCTCCTGCACGCCCCCTACTGGGGATTGAGCCCGCAACCTGGGCATGTGACCTCCTGGTTCATAGGTCGACAGTCAGCCACTGAGCCACACCAGCCGGGCCTGTTCTCCTGAAGGTCCAGGCTACATTTGGTTTGTTCATTCATCCATTGATGGACATTTGGGTTGCTCCGCACTCTTGACTATTGTGCGTAATGCTGATATGAATATGGGTGTGCAAGACCCTGCTTTCGATTCTTCCAGATACATACCCAGAAGTAGGACTGGTGGGTCACATGGTGATTCTAGTTTTTGTTTTTGTTTTTAAATATATCTTTAGTGATTTCAGAGAGGAAGGGAAAGGGGGAGAGAGATAGAAACATCAATGATGAGAGAGAATCATTGACCCACTGCCTCCTGCACGCCCCACACTGGGGATTGAGCCCGCAACCCGGGCATGTGCCCTGACCGGGAATTAAACCGTGACCTCTTGGTTCTCTGGTCAATGCTGAGCCACTGAGCCACGCCGGCCAGGCTCTAGTTTTTTTTGTTTTTTGTTTTTTTAATATATTTTATTGATTTTTTACAGAGAGGAAGGGAGAGGGATAGAGAGTTAGAAACATTGATGAGAGAGAAACATCAATCAGCTGCCTC